CCTGCAAGTTGGTGTCTACAAACCTACTGAAGGGAATGGTCTGAAACTTCACACACTTGTTTGATAGCACAATTGGAGGTCACTATTCAAGGCATATAACTAACATTTATTTTTTGTTTGCCTCAAGCACTGAGAAAAGTCGAGCAAGCTGTCCTACTGACAACTCTTGTTTTTTGCCATTTAGGTTATCATACATAAACTACATGCCATAAATGTGTTCATCTGAGACTTAATGTCTGTTCATTGTGTAAAATTACTTTTTAATTTAATGCACCAGTTAGTAATGATAAAAGTATACTGAGACTATTTTGTTATAGTTACATAAAACATATGTTATATGATAGGCATAATGTCTACAGTTTTAATGACTTAAAATACCTGTCATGTCATATCATACGTACATATTTTCATTCTTTGTTTAAATTTATGGACTACTTGATATGTGCATTAATTTCCCATTTTATTGCAGATATAATATTTTATGTTTTATTCTGGCTACAGTTGTTTTCATTTGTAACAATATTACATAATCAAGGTTGGTGGATCTACTTTAGTGCCCACTAGTGCTTGAAATAATGCATGGAGGGGCACTACATGTTTTCCTTTATCAGTTAAAGTGGAAAGTTACCACATGGCATTAACAGTTTCTAGCGTTATGGTTTACCCAAACCCTGTATGACTTAACCAAAGAATAGTTTACATATTAAATGAATTATCAAATTGTTTTGTGAGAAACTCGCAATGATGTGCGTCCAGATACATTGCTGATTGCTGAATTGTTAAGAATATGTTGTTATTAGAACCAATAAAGGTACATGCTGTATGCAGTTTTGTTAATTTTCTTTCTTCAGATCTGTCTTCAGTTTTAATTTGTTTCCTAGTAATTAGAATGTTGACTCAATTTTGATGGTAACTACCAAAAACCGTTAAAAATAGAAATTTATAAAAAACATAATTATGTACAGTGGGGAAAAAACCCACGCCACTAGTGTACCAATAGATGCTATCTTTATAACAGGATATGGAGAGATAGAATTTGAAACTGGGGTATATTGCAAAATAATGAAAAATACAACAAAACGTGAATATATGTAAGTAGATATTTAAGGTGTAACATTACGTCACAGAGATACAGTACACTCTTTGTGATATGCCTTGAAAATAATAAATTAGTTTGAACTTACATTATTACATATTAAACAAGAGAAATTGATATATTTCTTGTAAGACAATATAGATATTTACTGGGGCTCAGGTTGGCATGTGGTTAGAATCACGAAGGCTGTGTTAGCCAGAGCGATTGTTTTCTGTTATGAAGTAATTCAAAGCGCTGAAGTTGCAGGATGGTGCCTTATTAAGGTTAAAACCCTGTTCAAACCACCAGGATCCTGCACAAACTGGTGCAATGAAAGATAAATGGCAATACCTTAACTTTTTTAAGGAAAAGAAAGTACGGTATGGAGCACGGGTTAATATTTGTATGAGAAAATGACACTTTAATACCTGTATAAACTACAATGTATACAAGTTTTAATGGTTTATGCTTCCTGTTAAATATCCATATCTGTTCGATAAATCTGACTGATTGGAGTTTTGAACACCTATGAACACTGTCAATCTCGTTCAATATATATAATGTAGACCGTGAATATATATCATAAGGCATTATATATAAAAAGTGTTAATCTTACACAGTTAAAATGGATTTTCAATGCCCCCATTTAGATCAAATGAGATGAAAGAAACGCAACTTAGATAAACGTTGTTGTTATAAACAATACTGCTTAATGTAGAATATCAGATGTTGATGTAGATTTTGAAATTTTCATTTTATGTTAGGTCCTTCACTAGTTGTGATAGTATAAGAAGTACGGAGTAAATAAGGGTCTGTCTGCCCTGTACAAAGCTCTTTACAATCACTTTAAGCACGGAAACTATAAAATGGTAAATAAAGTACGTACTTTATACAATAATTATAGTTGTAGATCTATAAAAGTCGTCATTTCCGAATCGTCTTTCCCAGTCTTCCTGGAATATAGATCGGGCCGTCCTTGGCCGAGTGGTTAAAGTCGTGGACTTCACTTGCCTGTCACCGCTGTATGTTCGAATCTCGCTAGGGCGTTTGGATTTTGGTGAGGAAGCTATCAAGCTAGCTTATGGAACATCGGTGGATCTACTGAGGTTCCCGCTCATGTCTGAAGAAAAATGCCAAGGAGGGGCGCCTGAGGACTTGCTCCACCAGTAAAGCTGGAAAGTCGCCATATGCCCTGTACAGTATTTGTGCGACGTAAAACCTAGCCCCCAAAAGTACAGTATTTATGGCCACTTCCTCCGGCATGTAGCAAGGCACCGGAAATATCGTTATAAAGTTATCAAAATGTTGATATAGAAAATTGTTACTCAATCAGAGATCAAGAAATTACAGAAAAATATTTTGTTTTGTGAGACAGATATCGCCGCTATCAAGTTGTGAGAAAAACGGGAAATACAGGCATTATTCTTAACATATTGATTTAAATGGTAGAAAATAATGATGTATATATACGTCAGACAAGATTTTGTTTTTCTGATGTGAAGAATCTCATGAATCTCTTGAGGGTAGAAAATGATAAGCGCGCCAACAAGTTAAAAAAATATCCAGCACTTATGTGAAAGACGGAATTAAATCCCATTCTTGTCATTAAACAATAGGGACGTTAAATTATCAATGAAAATGTATCATAAAAAAAACATAAGAATCCTCATGTTCGCTTTAAAATTTAATTAACAGTGTCAGTGGTATTTTTCTATTTTCATATTATCGAATAAAAGTTGCTCCCGGCATGCTTTGTCCTTGATTTTTCATTAAGATAAGCGTATTTGTTTCAACTGACTATTCGCCAATCAATATTATACAAATGACAAAAAAGTAATTGCCTATGATATGTTTGTGGTCTTATTTGCAATAGACTCGAATCTTTTTATTTGCTTGCTGAAAGCTCTTTTGTTGACATACTACAGAGTTGTTACCTTTAAGTTTAACCGTTTGTGGTATTATCTCCTGCGTTACTAAGTAGCCGATGTAAATAGATAATTTAGTCCCACAACAATCAGCAGTGGTTTGGGAAAATCCGGCCATCCAACCCCCATCTAATGGTCCTAGTAGATAAAAGAATTTCATAGAATATTTAAAGAAGGTATATCCCGATGACGAATCAAAGCACAGAAGGCGCTGAATTTGTTTGGGTCTCAGAATGTCAGAAAGGTGAAGGTTGTGAGATTATAAAACAATTTGTTTTTGCAAAGTGCCACCAATGCTTTCAAGCGTTTTAATTGTAGTAGATTGGCTCTAAGACTAATTGCAACACTGATAATCAATCCAATAATTATTTGACTTAAACAATTTGAAAAATAAAAAAAGTTGCCTTAAATGGGATTTGAACTCCAGACCTCTCGCTTCCTTATAGGCGCGCAAACCCCTCGGCCACGGCGAATTTATACGTAGACGGCCTGAAGAAAACCATAATATTCTAAATTAGAGTTTGTAACGACGCTGTTGTTTAACACTTGTGTAAATAATCATGGCGCATACTATCTATAAAGTATAAAACAATATTAGAATTCTTCGACCATTCGGAATTATTTTGCCTAAGAATCAATGCGCCTGTCATCTGACCATATTTACGCAGTGATCTCCCCTGAATTTTTCGGCCTAAGTGTTAGATATAAAGGGAAGTAACCGCTTCAAAAAAGCGGACTACTTTCGGCATTTGCAATTAACAGCATTAGAGTCTGAAATTTCGCTACCATTATTTGTTTGGTCTGACGACCCAAACAAATAAAAAAGGAAAATCGAAGCAAAAAAGCCAAAATATGCGCGTTTTAGGCGATGCACAATGTATTTCGATTTTTTTATGTATTTTTAACAGATATTTGGAAATATTACTACAACGAGATATTTCCTGTTATCCTCTGGATGCGTGCTGATTTAAGTTTCTTAAGAAATTTTCATCTTACTGTAATGACTAATTAAAGTGATCACTTTTCTAACAAAAAACAGTGTTTGGGCCTAAATAGGGTCACCGTTTGAGGCCTCAAAAATAAAACGGGGGGTCGAAAAGCCGTCAAAACACGTCTATAGATATGAGGTAAAGGGTTAAAACCTGCCCTTGTATTTAAATGTAACATATACTGTAGTACATCTTTCTATATAAAACATTTGGTAAAGATGTGTAAGTTTGTTTGCGACTTGATGCCCAAATAGCGTGTTGGTCAAATTATTTAATTCGTAATAAGTTCTTCCAAGAAATTTCAACTTGTCAAGGTATTGTCAAATTTAATTTCAGTCCTCAAGAAACTTGTAACGGTATGATTCTACGTCATCGCGCACCTGCAAATGTTTAAGTGAAAATATTTCAAAATAACGTCATGATGATGTTATATATACACGTATGTAACTCCATGAAAAAAGCAAGAGCTACGTCACATGACAAAAATATTTCAGTTGTTAATTATATATATCTCTATATAAACATGGAAAAAAAGTCTGGCTTTTTTCAATTAGGTCTTCAATCAAATGATTTCTATATAGATATAGATCTACATGTATATCTTACTTAGTTGTGGTAAACTATAAATCTGGATCATATTATTTGAACCAGTGTGTTAAACTCCCATTTCAAAAGTAGATCCATGACATATTAATAAACTAGTAGAGCTAAATTTCAGAAAAAAAAATCTCTAATAAGACCCTTTAAATTATCGGTTCCCGTTAAAGTCTGAAACATGAATAATAAAAAAACATACAAAAACACGGTACTATTATACTGTATAGTGCATGTATATTATAAATTTATATATGCTGGATCACCAATCGAGCGAGTCATTCAGTACGAACAAAAGCAACTATATTAGTTTGGTTTACTGACCTTGAGTCCATGAACTGGAACATTTCTATTTTTAGAAAGGGGCAAAACCCATTGTTCGAATGCAACGTTATGCATTTACAACAGTTATGTACAGCGGTCAATAGGTCAAGGATTAAATATTTAAAGTAGCTCGGACTTTAAGATAAAACGAATAGGAACGCTCGTTTATATTAACGCTAAACAAGTACTGACTGTTTATACATGTACATAGATTAACGAAGAAGAGTACTGAAAAAATCAATTCAGTAACGTGTGTGTGTTTACATATAGCGTTCTCAAAATAAGCAAAGTGTGACAATATGATACGGAGTTCATTCAGAGACCGGGTGTTTTAAATGTTATTCATTGGAGACTTCAAGTTGGATTTTATCTCTTTCATGTTTATGTAAACTTATTTTATATTTAAATGTTTAGGAGATCTACGAACAGTAACGATTTTATATCACGTGAAATGATAGTGATCTTTTGTGGTAAATAAAAAGTGGTGTTGTATCATTCATTACAGTTGGTAAAATGTATACATGTTCTATTCATGTATTTATTCTGTCGTATTAGATAATCAAGTATGGTGCACTTCCACGACCTCCACGTGCCATGGCGCGCGCTGCAGATTACAATCAACGTGTGTACAATAGTGACAGGATTCTGTACATTTCTGCCTCAGGGATATGTTTCTAGTTATTTTTCTTGGAATTGTGTTCTTTTTGCTGATATTCAATTAACAGACAAAGTGAATGCTACAGCAATTCTCGTGGACACAGAGATTACGATATGGGGTTCTAAATCAACCTGTTATTTCACGACATACTCCCCACTGATGACCGGGGTTCATGCCTTCATCTGGTGCTGGTACTTTCTGCTTATGAAAGGCCAATTAAAAAAAGAACAGTAAGTTGAAATATACACTTTTGTTGTAAAATTTGCTGATTATATTTCAGGCGTCAATATAACTTTTGATATGGTTTCTTAAATCAATGTGAACGTTTCACCTCGATTAATGAAACCTCATATTAACGTTAAATGTGTCATTATCGTAAAAAAAAAACCCAAATAGATCTACTCTTTATATATATCGTTTCCATTGTTCAAATCTAAAGCGACGTATAAACATGACTGTGTACTTAATTATACACAATGTTCATTGAAACAGATGACTGCACAAAGGACGTCTTTCATTTTACTGTCTGTTCTTTAATTAAGATATCACTTTTAGTTTTTGAATGTATGTCTATGTTCAAAAAGTGTAAATATCTAATCACTTATTTCATTAAACACAAGTCAAAATTTATGACAAGGAAAGAGTTCTGTACATGCTGATAACAGTTAATATATATCCAACGTACTTACAGTCATAAATTTAAAGGTCAGTAAGGCTACACAGTGTATCGATACAGTACAGTCTTTTTTTATAATTTTAAAGTTTTTATCAGTTGGGAAATTTCAACTGATAACTACATGTATATGAAAAAAATGGGAAAAATTAACAATCGTATTAAAACATTCATTTGCATGGATGATAATACACTAATAATAATAATAATAATAATAATAATAAAGATTTTTTTACGAGAGAACTCATTTGAACAACATATCAATCTTCCGTATGAGGCCCTCAACATTGAAGAAACAATATACATGTGTCCTACATTTATCTTATCAAAGTATTAAAATACATAAATGTTAATACATACATGAGATTATCGATTTCTATACACCAATGTGTGATAATATCTCTAGTATAAAGTTTTAAAATGATTCATAGATGTAGCAAACTTGATACATTAATCAGGAAGGCCGTTCCAAATACAAAATCCAGAATAAACTAAGGCAGTATATTTGGTCTAGGGGTGTAAAGTTGAAAATAAGATGATGCGAATATGCGAATATGAACATCTGAAGATAAAATGAAATTATTCAATAAATATGAATGGTCTGATTATTCATAATCTTAAACATCATAATAGCTTAAGCCTTTTTGAAAAACAACCCTCTGTGAAAAGGTCATGCAGCGGAGTTCAGAAAATAGTTCAGCAGATGGGGTGTCATAATCTTTGTCTAGAATTAGTCTTGCAGCTCTCTTTTGGACCTTAATGAGTTTATCTATAATAACAATTATGTATTTTGTATTATGTTTTTTGTTTATAGAAAATCCCAATAGCCTAAACATTGAACTGTTTTAGAGATATGTTCACAAATTGTCAACTGGGAAAATGTCATATTTTGGTCTATGGTGTTTGATTTCTTACTGATATCGTTTGTATAATATTTTAAATATTATAAAGAACTATTGTTTCACCAGTATATCGCTGGGCAAGCCTAGGTTAGGCTGTACTTTTAGGCAGTCTGCTAGACTTCATATGATACGCAAAGAAAATTTATTACCATTAGACTGTTTATAATTTATAATAGTTTATACAGATAAGAATTTCAACTGGATTTTGAAACTTTTTTTTTCCATAATATGTATCTCATTAGCATATTTTCTGATACTTGACACAGTAAATTTAAAACTATTTTTATAACTTATATATTCAGACTAAATCTGCACCTGTGGATTGCATTTTTGTTACATTTTTGTTACATTTTCTGAATATTTTATAAACTTAATGACCCAGCATTGCATACCACTTACTTGTCATTCTCTTAAATAAGTTTTAAATATCTCTCATTAGTATATCAAATAGTCGAGTTTATCTTCCACAAACTTCACAAATATGTCAGATAGCCAAAAAATGTCACACATGTACCAAACCTGTTTTGTTCCCTTTTTGTGGTTGTACTCGGGTAAAAAACATTTATTTATCTATTCATAAACTACTTCTGAAATAGTATGTTCTTAAAAGATGTTACGTGGGTGAAAAAAACCACAGGGGAAAGAAATAGATACATGGTGTTGCATTAATATAAAATTATAATATAATAAAAACATCATATCTTCTAATCCGATTAAGTTAGTAAGGAACGTGTTATATTCATATGCAATATTATCGTCTGCTTAATAAAAAAGTTTGCTAAAGTACACGCCGTCGTCTGAAACGAACGTTGGCACCACTAAATATGACAAGAAATAATGAACCTACATGACGGAACGTTCTTTTATAGCCTACGTCTATTTATGTGTAGTATCCATAGCTTTTTTCTGCCGTGTCATCTTTATTTGCAGGGCAAAAGTATTTTATAGTGTCAATAAGTATTATTGACTAACAACTAACAAATTGTACACACTAGGCGATTTATGAAATATTTCACTGTTTTGTTACGCCAACGGGACATGACTGAAAAACACCACACACTTTATTCCATCACTTAAACCTCCCACCAACCAGAGTTTAAATACTGGGAGGACTCTACATAAACTTGGTGTGATGTACATAGGAAACATAATTATATAAGTTAAAACATTTGATTCACAAGTGTATTATTATTTATTAAAGGCCCATTATGCCTCAAAAATGAATGTTTTTTCTTTCTATATATAGAAGGGCAATTTTAAGCGAGATCATAACATTTAAGTAATGGATTTAGAGAATGTTAAATATATATCACCGGAGCAAAGTAGTGCTGAAAGTGAAATTATTTGTCATGAAAGTAGCAAATTGTAAACAAAGTAGTATTTTCACTTCCATACAAAATACTAAATCAGCTAGTATAACTGTATTCATTGTTTAAATGCAAAAGAAGCAAATGATGTCTCGACTTTATTGCCAATGAGTAACATTTTAGAAACTATAATACCCATTAAAAGGACACCAAAAAATAAGAAGCTTTGGAAAAATAAAAATGTTAGCATTTCTGAGGCTTAATGGGTCTTTAAAATTACTTTTGATGTAAAAAAAAGAAGATATTGTGCTTTTTGTCCAATGATCCATATTGGATTGCGTTCTTCACTCCTCGTTCATGCTTTAACCTCGTTGTTTGAAGGTGATTTAAATTCTTATTTAAAGATTGACGTATCATATTTTATCACTTTAATGACCTCGCATTAATGACCTTTTTGCCCTTAAATTATTCAGGATAAATCAAAGTAATGACATGTTTAAAGGTCATATCAGTTTACTTTCGCTGTTATGTTTACATATGAGCGAGCGTTATCATAGCCCCGACCTTCAAAAACTGATATACTATGACATTTTATCATAGATGTGCTCCCCCCTTTCACCTTTGTTAAATTATTCATGTCCTTAAATTAAAGCAAACATGATCCTTCAACTCTACTTATATCTAGAGGTATTAAAGCTTAATGAAATAGGACTCGTAAGTTGAAACGCTACAGTCCTGTCAAGTTTATAGTTCGTTTTGTTAATATCTGATCAAAGTTAAAGCTGCATGCCTCCAGTTAAGCTAAAATATTTCAAGAAAAAAACTTATTAAATCTTTAAGAAAGGTGAAAAGCTTCTAGATTCAAGTTATAATTTACATGTTACGTGCAACTAAAGACTTATTTTTCAGTATTTATCATAATATTATATTTCTGCTGCTTGACTAACGCATTAAGGGCTTACCTCGTTTTTTGTAATTTACGTGGATTGTAAGTGCCATTTTGTAATTTGTAAATTACTTTCTTTGCTCACTTCACAATAGCTTACTTTAAACTATATTTTCAAAATTTTCATGAAAGTTAGCATGAATCATGAGGCATATTGCTTTAAACTTGATGAAAAAACTGTACGTTAGTCCTCATGATGTTATTCTTGTTTTTTTTTCAGTTCATAGTTCATTTTGCACATATCTTATCAAAATTAAATTGAGTTATATTTTATGGAGTTTTCTCTTTTCTTTTCAGCCAAGAGTTCCCGTTATTGATAACATCATTTGTGTTACACTGCCTGGTGTGCGTGCTCATGTTTGTAGCCAGTAGCATAATTAGCGCGGGAATAGATTCTTGGTGCCATAACCTCGTGAAGGAGTTAAAGGGCAAAGGTCAAAGGTAATTGCCACTGTTCTGTTTCAATTACCGGAATTATTGAAACTAAACGGTTTATCATTAAAAAATATTTTCCCATGATTATTTGGTTACACATAACTTTACGTATATAAGTAAATAGTGATGGACATAAAGCTGTTAGGTTAATATCATCATAATGATGTTTTATATTTTCTTAGACGTACAGAAATGTATAATCATGTACCATTTATTTAAGTTATTCATTCTGTTTTGAATTATAGAAAGTTTGAGAACGAAGTCCTTGGACTTTCGTGAATATTTGATTTCTTTAGGCAAAAGGGTATTGAACAAAGCAGATAAATTTAGCAATATATTTGTCTACAGTAACATGTATATATATATGAAGTAAAAATATTGCATATGGGAAAAGTCTGCAGTTACTCGTACATGTATTTATACACTTATTGGTTGTTTTATTTGTTTTCTTTTTTGTATCTGAATTATTTAGCATGGATTGTCTACAGACGCAGAAAATGGATTGGCCTAACATATATACAGATGGGAAGAAACATTTTATATACTCGTTTTTACTAACAGCAAAGGTAATCATGTTGTAATTATATTCCTCGCCTCTAGCTAACAGAAACAGAACGAAATTAGTCTTTGCCACAGTGTAATAAAGAGCCGGGCCAGCTTGCACTTTCGTGCAGTTTAACCAAGCTTTTCACTGTTGGCTGACTACCGGTAACTTCAAAGTTTCTTCTTTATGCCCCAAATGATGGGCCACTTTTAAAAGGAACCTGGGCAATTTTCAACATGATTAGCTTTGAAATATGTGCTCGCTTACAGAATAAGACCCAATAAGGAAATGGCACGGTTGATAATACTAAAAAAATAGCTGATTGTTAGAACGTATGCTATTGATACGAGGGGAGTGCTTGCTGATGAGTACAGTGTCTGACACTCAATCCAGGGAATGTTGGTTCGAGCCTTACATGGGTAACGACCTTGTTTCCTTGTAAAACACTAGTACTTAAGTCTTTCAACTCTGTGAAGCAGACTCGATACAGTAATCTAAAAAAAATACAATCAAACGCCTGACTGAATTTGTTTGATTATAGTGACCAAATGTAAACCATATCTTATTCCTGTATGGCTTGTCAGTCATTTTGTCTGTCTTTGACTAATGTTTATTATAACTGAGCTGACTTAATAATATATACCTTGCCAATTTTTGTCACGTATTTGACGGACTCATTGATGTAAAACAGAGTGGAAATAGCCAACGTTATTTATAGGTCAATCTTCTATAACTGGTTATATCTGTCAGTATTGAGATCATAAATATTGTATGGTACTAACTTATCGACTGTTGGCTACAAAATATGAATCATGTTTTTATTGATAAAATGTCAATACCGAGTGCTTTAAAGTTTTAACTTGTGCTTTAAGTTAAAAAAACAACAACATTGCAATTGCGTTGCAAATTTCTTCACTAGAGTGAATCCGAGTACTCGTGGTTTGACTAACAAAACACTTGCCCATTGTATTTTTAAACCAGCTTAGCTCCATACATAAAGAGCATGGGATAGGTAATCACGGGTCACTGGTTCGAACCAAGGGCCTGTGAAATTGATCTTGGCCATGGTGTGTGACGGTAATTTGTCTCTAACCGCTGATATGACTAATCATTTGGGATAGGTAGCCGGTCACTTCACTTGTGGAGAAGTTGGTTATTACTTGTTAGTTATCCAGAAAATCCTGTGTGGTGGATCAGCCGCTGAGATATGACCAAAACATGCATATAATCGACGGTAAAACAAGAAGAAGAAAAAGCATTTCAAATAACAGTTAATATCATAAAATATTGGTTACAATTACATATGTACATGTAATTGAATTGGAGTGTTAACCAAGTAAATTGAGCGCTTGCCTTTCAATTCATGGTTCTTCGCTTTGATCTTTCCCGGTGCCATAAGACTCATAACCACGTTTCATCATAAAACATCACATTCGAGCTAAATTACATTGTAATACAAGAAAATATTATGATCGCATAATGAGTTACATATGTTATAACATCATATAAAACAACAACAGCAACATAGACAGATCTTGTCATATTGTAATGAAAATGATACGGCTTCCTTTCAGAAGCCTTACTAGATATATTGACTAAAAGTTCACGAAACACTGCGCAGTTTACAATGCCAGAAAATTTTATCGTATGTAATTTAGTAATTTCGCTATTGCCAAATAGATGTGCAATATAAACAATACATAATGAAGATTTTGATCTATAGACAGTAAATAATCTTAAATGTCACAAGGAAGTCTCGACTGGCATGTTATATATAATTGGATCAGTGAATGGGAGGCAGCCGTACGTCGTTTTTCATTGGATAATCGCGACATTTACATAGTTTCATATACACGACTGCTGTCAATTTCAATTTATGAAGAATTCTCCTTTTTTTCTTGAATAAGTAATAGAAAGAGCACCGAAACACGAGGCTATTTGATTTGTACGAGGGGGCGTAGCCCCCGAGTATAAATCAGATTGCCGAGTGTTTTGGTGTTCTTTCTCTTTTGTATCATAGTCAAACATGACAGCACGTTCCCTGTTGTCATAATATGAAACCCCAGAAAAAATTAACCAATGAACGAGCATTTGAATATGATAGTTCTGCCCCTTTCCCTTTCTCTGCCGTCACAATATGTAAACCCCGACAAAAATGAACCAATCCACGGGCATTATCTGGAGTGCGGGTAACTGATACCCGCACTCCAGTTACCGCACTGTGCATGTATATGTATACGATTTAACTCTGACACTTTTTCAACAGAAAGGTACCCAAACTATGATACAAAGGAAGTTTGCTGTATCATTAATCCGTTAGAAATATTTTTGACAGGTTATATGACCGTATATAGACGGATGTTTGCAATATAACCATCGCTTAGCGGCACGGGTTATATTTCCCAACAACCGTTTATATTGGGCATATAACATATAACATAATCTTTATAACTAATAATATTTCTGAAGGCCCATTCAGATATCATTGGGTAGGAAGGATATGAAATATACGTGATATGTTAACATATATATTATGTATGTTAGGTCACCTTAGGTCTTAGGTCAAAATCTAAATTATCTCCCATTTTAGGATAATTATGTAAAGAATGACAATAAATTATCAAATTAAAAAAGAAAAGTAACTACATCTTTTGAATGTCTTTCGAGAAAAAAATACAGCGGGAATATAACGCATGGAGTCAATAACACCTCGAGAAAATAACGCCCAGAGAAAATAACGGATGGAGAAAATAACTCGTCGAGAAAATAACGCCCGGAGAAAATAACGGTTAGAGAAAATAACTCCTCCAGAAAAGAATGCCTTAAACTATAAAGCACTAAGTTAGAAACGCCGTCTTACGTTAGTACCATACAGAATTAGTAACCTCCGTACGTGATAAGTCAATTATGTCATTTGTTAGAAATCTTTCTAGTCTCGATTAAAACAAACTTACGTATTTTTGTTTCATAGAATAAATAAGTTTATTATATACATGTACACGTACTTATATAAAAAAATATTAACATGCATAAAGTATTTTCATTTTCCGTATTTTCAGTGTAAAAAACAATTTCCGTATTTGTCCTGCCGGACTACTTTCTTCTAGATTCAGCCAATACAAAAAATTTAAGTGGAAATCTTTTATATTGTATTATCAAAAAGAAAATTGTATATTCTATAGATACAGGATTTATTTTCATCTGTGGTATGAAAATTATTATATTTCACTCGAGGCTACATTCAGTCATGACATATTTATTTTCATACCACTCGATGAAAATAAATCCTGTATTTATAGAAAAACAACTTGAATATCCTCTATATATCTGAAAAACTGACTTTATGACTATTATATATTTACAGATTTCAAGTTGGTTACAGACATTGACTTTACTGTGTCAAAGTGTATTATGTGGCTATAAACTGTATCAGTGGGTGCTGAAAACTACCCACGGGGCGTTTGATCTCAGGCACTGCGGACAAACTTCTTGTGATAATTTAAACCACAATAATGATGACTATAATTGTGAGAATGGGAGTATAATTGTACATTCCATAGAAGCACAGGGTTACAATCGTTTAGTGGAAGAAGAAGATGATGAAAATACTTGATGCTGGTTCACAGAAGGAGTTAATGATAGTATAAAAGGGGAACCAAATCAAAATTAATATTGGGATGAATATGAAACTATTATTTGACATTATAACATGCATTGTGTGTACTAATGTTGCTCAGTTCCTCATGAAGTCGACTAACTACACAACGATATACACATCTCAGGATATATTTGTGTTCGGAAAGTAGCGGGAGATAACCGGGGTCTCATATTGGGACACATTTTTTCATTATTTTATTTTTTGGACGACGGTGGAGCAGGAGATCAAAATATGAGCCGCGTCACGACAAAACCAACATAGTGGGTTTGCGACCAGCATGGATCCAGACCAGCCTGCGCATCCGCGCAGTCTGATCAGGATCCATGCTGTTCGCTTACAAACCCTTTAACAAGTAGAGAAACTGATAGCGAACAGCATGGATCCTGATCAGACTGGTCGCAAATGCATTACGTTGGTTTTGTCGTGACACGGCTCATATATGTTTTGGGTTTTGAAATCCAGAAAAGATGTAGCAGTTTATATGTGTTGTGAACATACTTTATTCATACTCTTTGCTGTTATACATTTTTATATATCAACATAGTAACATGTTTTTGTTAATTTGCTCAAAGATGTAGATAACGGAGATAAGCAGCTCCTATATATACTCCATTGAAACATTATGCCTATCAAAAAGTGAAAAATTAGGCATTTTGTAGCAATTAAAACTTAATGGATAAAGATTTGAGCCTTTTATACTATACACCATTTGTAAGTGAACACTAACTTTTTTATATTACATATCTTTTAAATATTGCTGCATGTTGAAATATTTGTAACTTTCTATGCTTTTCACTGAGAAAACATAGCAGAACATACCCACTGGTCATATACATAGTTATGTTACAAAAATTAATAGGTAGTTCTCTTTAAAAATTTGATGTATCATTTATTTAAATTGGAACTGTAAATATTTTTACCTGCAGCCATAGGCAAATGTATAAGCATTCGGAAAAGTTTTATTTTACTGATTTTGATATCTGGTTATTAAGTTTTATTTGTTACAACTTTTAAGTTTAGCAAGCACGCATGATATCTTAACTGGCTAGGAAGTTGCCTATCTCTGTTATATATGTCTCTGCTGAGTGCTGAATACGTATTCCATTTATTTAGATGAATCTGAATTGATAACAATTAATTAATTCAAGGGAAACAACCATGTGAACTTGTTCATGATACTCTTTTTACAGAATTGTCTCCCATGAACACAAACTTTCAAATATTTTACGTAACAAATGCACTTTATTTTTCTGAGCAGAAACTTAAGTTTTGTTAATTGTAAACAATGTAATATGTAAAAAAATAAAAAGTACAAAAATATGTAATTAATATTACTTGTGATGAGATAGAATTCTATTTGTTTTATAGTATGTAGATCTACATGTAGATCTACGATAATTTAATCATGATTATGTAACATTGTATAAATCTATGAACAGAATTTGAAAAAATATTTAACTTATGATCTTTGGTAACACCGAATACCGAATTAACCATTTCCTGCACACCTACATGATACGCCTACACCGATCTGGTATAGCTATAGTAAAGCGAATGTAATTGTAAAACAGCATTTTTATACAAAACTTATAGCATAATCATCATGGAAAACAAAATTCCGTTATTTTCTTCCATTTGTGATTTTGACTCTCCAAAACTCTTAAATTCCCACTAACATTTCAACATCATCTATCATATCTTCCATGACATTTTTCACTTCAATGTATCGAAGCATTGAAACGGCCCATGGTTCTATGGACAGAATGTTCTTACAGTCACCGGAAGCCTTTGATTTTGTCAAGTTTTTCAAAATATTTTCTAAAAGTTCTGCACCTATCTTACGGTATCTCTGACAGCGATACCAATTTCTGTAGCCTCCCTTGTATTCTTCGTCATTATCTAATCCTTTGACTAGATGGCGCCACCGTCGGTTCTTCCAAGACAAGTAAATATCACATATGACGTCACAGATGCATCTGTTCATGGTTCTATTGTCCTCTGCGCATTTATATTGATGAAACAACATGCATGTCTTTATCTTGTATGAAGCTATGTGAATGAAATTAATATGTATTTTAATGCAAAATTCTTTCAGCTTTTCACCATCATTGTGTCCATTTATAAGATATTTAAGCATTTTGTAAGCTTGAAAATGTTTAGGTGACAACCAATTTCTTACGAATCGGACCTCAGATTCCGTAAAGGAAATACCAAATCGGGTAACGAGAAAACTTCCAGTTTCTGCAAGATAATTTGTAAAGTCTGGTAAACTACAGAGTTGATCAACTTTTAAGTCATGTTGCTTATCCATGATTTTAAAGGCTGGAAGAACGTCAACATATATGTCTGTTTCTTTAACTCGTTGCTTATAGTAGGTATATTTCAACTTAATAGCTGAGCCTTTGCTCGTAACAAACTTGTCAAATATAAGTGTTAAGCCAGCATCTCTCCTATCGAAGAAAAACTTATAACAAGATAAAATTCCTTCAAATACGCCATTAATAAATAAAGAGCCAAGCCCGAAATCGTGTCTTACAACATCTATTTCATTGCTAGGCAAGGAAAATGTTCCAAATATAAGAATATAATCAAACTCGTCCGGGTAAAACAGTTTGGTACCTTCGTAAAAGCTTCCAACTTTCAGAATATTGGACGTTGTTTCTTTTTCAATCAAGTTAAGTCCTGTAAACTCTTTCAATTTATTTTTCTGTAATTCTATTTGTGCGGATGCGGTTTTACTTATTACATTGTGTATTTCTTGGACCGATGTCTCTATTCCCGTCTGTACAAATTCTAACTCTGTTCGGTTAATGTTTAAATTTAATCCGAACGGGTAACTGACACGTATGGACATTTCTATCTGCCTTCAACAACAACATTTAAGTTCGACGTAATTTTTTAAGATTCATGAAGAATAAATCAAACAAACTGTTCGACGTGCTGCACAAAACCTCTACATAATTCCTGCTGCATATATTATGCTTTTTCCGTGTGTTCCATTTGTTAAATGATAAAACATTGTTATAAAATGTTATATACACAAACCATCAGTCTGTGAGCGTTATTTAAAGCTGTGAAAATAGTGTACGAACCATTGCCCGAACAAATACACCTGCTGTATGGACTTGGTCGACTGCCTCAGTAGCATAAATAGCACGCCAAGAAATTGGATCAAACTAGAGTGCATTATTATCAAACCTGGTCAACAACCCCTACCTCCTTATGAAACTTACTCTGATCACCGGAGTAAATCAATGGAGTAATTGTTTATTTATTTTATTATTTATATTGAAACACGAATGACACCAATGCCACTTTTTATGTATTATTCCTTGAAAATAATATGACGAAAGACCAAATCCGGCAGGTATTGGTTGTTATATGCTACATTTTAGCCATCTCCTGAAAAGGTAAGACAAAGCGGAAGTCAGTTGAATTGTATTTGCTTTTTCACAAGCACAAAATTAAAACAAGATTGCATTTGTGATAATTGCTTTCCCACCGAATTTATACAACATTAAAAAGTAGTGTAGGAACAGAAGATTTTTTTTTGTTTTTCTATGTTTGCTTCTACAATTGAACTTTGCCATAATGCAGTTGAGTCTAGTGAATTTGGTGGTCAAGGTCATATTTCACACGGCCTTAATTTCATGAATGTACATCATAGGACAAAACAGTAAGACACTTTGTCGAAATCTAGGTCAGCTGATATCAAAGTTCAATTTACATCTTAATCTGTGCAAATGGTTTAAATATCAAAGCTGTACATCAAAGGACAAAAAAGAAGATCACATAATCAAAATCTAGGTCAGCTGATATCAGAATTCAATTTAATATCTCAAACTGTGCACATTGTCCGAATTTCATAGCTGTACATCAAAGGACAAGAAGGAACGTCACATAATCAAAATCTAGGTCAGCTGATATCATAGTTCAATTTTACATCTAAAACTGTGCACATGAGCTGTACAAAGAAGGTCACATAATCAAAATCTAGGTCAACTGATATCAAAATTCAATTTTACATCTCAAACTGTGTGCATGGTGTACATCAAAGGACTAGAAAGTAGGTCACTGTCCCCTTGGGCAGGGCGAAATTTTGACGAAAGGGTTTAATTCAAGCAATCTTGATACAGATCAACCAGACAGTGTTTCATGCCAACTATCTAAGCTGTAGCTTTCTCCTATTCAGAAAACATTTGTTTAGGTTTCTGTTTTTACCATGTGTACATAATAAAAAACAATGACCCCGGGGCGGGGCTAATTTTGATCCCAGGGCTATTATTTGAACAATCTTGAGCCTTTGTCAATTCAGAGAAGAAGATTTATTAAGTTTTTACTGAAAACATATATGGAAAACCTGTGAACCCCGAGTCAGGACCAATTTTGACACCAGTGGCAACATTTAAACAACTTTGGTACAGGACCTATAAATGATATTTAAAGCTCTAAGCCTCATAGTGAAAATCAATGACCCTGGGGCTGGACCAATTTTGATCCAAGGGCTATAATTTGAACAATCTTGGTAGAGGTCTACTATACAATGTTTCATGCTAAATATCTAATCTCTAGCCTTTGCCAATTCAGAGGAGATGCTTTTTTAAAGTTTTTTTCTATATATCCATAGAAGGAAAATCTATGACCCCTGGGACAGAGCCAATTTTGACACCAGGGGCATAACTAAAACAACTTAAGAAGGAGACCTATAGATGATATCAATTACCAAATATCTAAGCTCTATGCCTTGTACCTTCAAAGAAAATTATTTTAAAGTTTTTACTATATTTACATAGTGAAAATAAATGACCCCTGGGACTCGGCCAATTTTGACCACAGGGCAACAATTTGAACAATCTTGGTAGAGGTCTTCCAGATAATGCCTTATACAAAATATCTATGCTCTAGGCCTTGTAGGTCTATAAAAGAAGATGCACATAAAATGCTGTCAATGAAAAAGACATACATGTATAGCCTTGAATAATATTGAAACTTCTTAGGCATATTCATGGAATAAAGCACTAGTTAAATGTGTAATTAATGATTAATGGTTATTTGTGAACACTATAAAAGAAACAAGTTACAATACTGTTATCGCACAACCCACCCCCCTTTAAAAATAGTTTTTGAAACATAACAATTACAGGAATTTATCTAGTTGTCCTGATTTTTTTCTCGTAATAAACGAACATTACGGAACGAAGTACATGTACAGTCTAATTGCAAGCTATCGACCATGTACTCTAGGACCTGCTTAATTCAGCAGAATTCTACATTTAAACATGAAAATTGAAAATCTTGTGAATGTTTTTCCTACTCTATAATGTTAAATGTTTGAGTGACTGGCCTTGTGTCGTTATATGTACATGTAGTGTGAGCTGAAATTTTTCCCCTTTCCTTTATATAGCCCCATTATTTCTTGCATTTAGAGCCTGTGTCCACCTTGTTTCTTCTCTAATGTTTTTTGTTTGCGATAACATTTATTTACCCCATTAATGTCCCCCTATAATACATTATACTTTCGTTTTGGCGTGAGGAACCGGGGAGAGAGCTGTTTTCATTGAATGGAAAAAGAAAATAGGTCAGTAAACTGCTACTGCATGTGTAAAATCAATATGAAGGATGTAATTACGAGTGTATCATATTAAAACATAAGATGTTGATTATTTAATATAAAATATGAATATTAAAGCAGTTAAAGTAACAGAAGTCGAAGAATCATAGTGTAATTATACCTTGTTAAATTAGTTTTATCCATTTTCCTATTATAAATTCAAGTCTTCCTTCCGCTGCACATCGCGTTTACAAGATGCTACATGATAAATTCGCATATTACTAATAATACATTAATCAACATAAATGTACCACGCGATGTGCAGAGGAAGTTAAATAACAATGATTTAGAAACCGATCGGCATTATATTAAAATGAGAAAAGTAAGTTAGTCAGTTTATAAATATTTTTCAGTATAATTTTCCTTGTTCCGGCACTTTTTTTTATTATTTATACACATATTTATACTGTATACATGTTATATATGGATAAAATCGCTTATTTGCCGTATATATAATTAACAACGCTAATTTGATATAATTATCGTTTTTAATTATATACGGCGAATTAGTCGGCAAATGCAAATTAGCGTTTTTATTTATATACAATTTAAATATTTAACATGTTTCCATCTGGTATGATTTCGTCTATTCCCGTGCATCGAAAATTTCGCCAAAATATTTCAAGAACGTTAAACTTGAGAAATATGCACTAAAATTTTAAGAACGTAGAAAAATATTCAAAATATATACTATGTGTTATGTGCGATTCTAACACGACCCGCATTTTTCCCTATTGAACATAGAAGAACAATCACTGTTTGACGTTCTATATTTAGACATGTGACGTAATCATTATACACGTGACGTAACCACTAAAATGTGACGCGCTGACAATAAGTGGCGCTATTAAGCTAATTGTAATGTTCAACAGCATTTATTTGTTGATGTCGTGTTAGAATCGAAATAATATATCCAAATCGGTGATTTTATTGCTTGATAACATTACTGTTTGTCGTTCGGATGCGCATCATTATATCCCCGCATATTTCCCCGCATCCGAACTCCAAACAGTAATGTTATTGAGCAATAAAATCACAGTTTGGGATATATTATTTCTTAATTAATGACTGATTTTGCACTATTTATCACTATATTTTTACTGCGTGGCTAATGCATTTAGGGCTATTTTTTGTATATTTTGACCTTTTGTGGTATTTTAGAAATTTACGTGGATTATAAATGACGTTTTCAATGTGTAACTTACTTCGTTCACTCCACAATATTTTACTTTAAAATACATAATTTTTTAAAATCCACATGAAAATTAGCATGAATTACGAGGCATGCTGCTTTAACAGCTAAGTTTAAATTGTTCAGAATGTATAATGGTGCCTATATCACGTGACATTTTTGTGATCTGCGGGGAATATAAAAACATCTTTTTTGCCCTGTAAGTTCCATATTCCATACATGTTAAAAACGTCATTTTTCTCAAAATATTTAATGATAATGATAAAAAAAAAACAAAACAAAGAAAAACAATAAAAAAAAAATAAATAAATAAAACAAACCGGAAAACGGATTGAGAGAATGATCTGCAAATTTGGACACAGCTTATGAGTCCAGACCTAAAGATGTTACACAAGTCTCAAAAAAAATATTTATAACAGTGATTACATAAGATGGTTCACATAATTACTATTATTGTTCTCTTCCATGATTTGCTTTGAAATGCTTTCTAACTCCCATGGAAATGCTTCTTAGAGTGAGAACAAAAAACGCATTATATTTGTTACTTCATAAATAAGCATACAAATGAAATATACATAACTAATATTTCAGTATTCATTTGCACTTTATTGTTATGAAAACTGTTTTATCCAATAATTGAAGACGTTTCCGATTCCAGTTCCTGTATAAGATAGCCGCCAAAGCTGGAATATTTATCACCCCAGAAAGTACCATTATTGTGTTCATTTTGAACTGCTACATATTCTCCTGAAATATATATATAAAATATCTGGAAGGAAGCTAGCTAACTCCTAAACAGGTGCCCGCGTTTGCAGAGGTGATCCGATTGTGAATGTCTTTTTTTCACCCATTAAAAAATTGTATTTTCCATATTATCAAAACAGATGATGGCGTGACTTCTACTAAAACTATTAGCTCAACGTGCCAAGAGATTAAAATCACATTCGATTATATATTCACCTAGGCCTGTATGACTCATCAGTAAAGTCAAACCTTTCTAATTTCTCTCTTTTTTTCGACAATAAGTGTATAAGTAAGTTTGTTATGGAAAACCACATTGACCATTTTCAAAAACTTATCCCTATGCAATTGCTGTACTGAGCACACAATTTTCATTATAAAAGTGATAGTATGCTCATTATTGTATTATTTAACGACTATTTAATTAAAAAAGATTAGATTGAATGTTACTTTAAAATGGAGGTTCTCTAACAGCTGATGCATGAAAATGTTTAGAATGAAATTTTAATCTGCCCAAACAAATTCATCTAATGTTCAACCCAATTTAGTTGTTGTTTTCCATGTTTTTATAAATACATTTAGGACATTGTATCACAAAAGAAATGATAAAGTTATGAAAGGTTAATAAAAAAAATGTTTAAAAATTAAATTAAAGTAAAGCTTACCTTTGTTTAGACTAAGAATTATCGTTTGTGACCCGCTTCCATGCCTACCATCTGTCCCACGATCATTCAGCCTAGCAATGATAGTTCTATTTACAACAAAGTTTAACCAGAATTCCATGTTATGATTTGACATTAGACTGGTTGTGAAAAGGTAGAGGCCACTAATAGGTGCGGTGAAAACTCCTTGATGATTGTTATAACCATTTCCAATATTTGTGACGATGCTATTTTATAAAACCCTAGATGATCCAACGATTTTACAGAGACAGTTGCGAAAAAGGCAACCGTGTTTGGTTCGTATCTTTTCTGTACGAAATCTGCTGTGGTCATAGTATTATTTTTACAATAGGTTTATCTCTTAGATTTGGTTCGCTAAATTGCTAATCATGGTCATGCAACTACATAGTTAGGTAAAGAAGCAGACGCTTGTTTTGGTTGAGTCTATTATGTTTTGTTTAGGGGGTTGAGTTGTCATACACAAATTTACAATTCATATGCATTTATTTTTTTCTAATGATTGTTATTATCTTAAATGCTTCTGGGATTGTTGTTTTATCAATTCATTTGTAAATAAGATTGTTATATGTCTATTAACGGAATAATTTTAATGAAAACGAAATTAGTTCACACCTACATGTGTATTGATAACGTGATGGTTTAAGCAAATGAAAACACGTCAATATTATTATTCTCAGGCAGAGAAAAAGTGTGCAAAGAGTAAATCGATAATCTTTATGTAGCCAGCAAACTTTGAATTGCAAGTATTTTTTCATATCTTTTCGGTAGAATAAAGTTTTCGAGGATTCGTATCGTAAAATGGCTGCCATTTACAGTATCAAGTGATTATCCCAAGCACCACCGCGACTTAGCGCGGGAATTTTAATTATAGCTAACCTCGGCGCGTATACCTTTTTCATATTTTATTGTAATAAATATTTACAAACTGTGTCTTTCGGTTTTTTTTAATCAATATATAACCAATAATGAGGTTAATATGAATAAGTAATCATATCTCAAATCTTTGACTATGATTTACGATGAAATTCTACCTTAAGTGTATTAAAAAGGTTTTTAATTTCCTGTAATTTTATTTTGTGATTATGCTTCAAAGCAGTCAATTGACCGTGAATTTTCTTTTCATATTTTGATTTCATTGAAATCATTTTTCTCATTTGAAGGCATGCAACTTTAATATGGTGATACATTAATTACATTCCATGAAAATGTTTAAAGATATAAAATATCTCATGACATGTTTGTTCATTTTACATTACAACAAAAAGTAGTATGCAATCGTACCTATATTACATACGAATGTATGTAATATTTTTCTTGTTACCTGTGATGCAGACCTAACATGTCCTGAAATGTAAAATGTATAATTGAAAGTATATAATATCCTTTTTCGAAGAAAGTCAGAATTTACAATTTACCTGCGGGATGAAACCCCGGAAGGAATTATTATAATTAAAATCTAATTGATGAAATTGTGTTGGAAAAATAGCTCTACTTTACTGGCTAAGTCTTGCATTCCGATTTTGTATAATTTGATAACCTTGAACATTTTAATAAATTCAAAAGATACTTGGCCTAACTCATTATAATATATGTAAAGAGTTAACCTAAACTGCTTAACATTGTCAAACAATTAAAATTATCCACATTGTTTTTTCTTTCTTTCTTTAGTGATGCCATGGAATCACAAAACCTTCCGACCACCTTGTCGCAAAACAACCAATTTTAAAATTTTTGTCAAACAATATATAAAAAACAACTTTAATCAACATCTTTGCTTGCTGTAAAATGTTCATCTATCAAAGAATGTGGAGCTTCAGATGTAATATTTTCAGTTGTTTAATAGCTGTTGTAATTTCAGTTGCTTAATGTACTGTATTTTAATTCATTTTAAATTCACCATTTTCATATCTTTAAATAAACCTGAAACATCTTCATCAGGTGTGAATACCTATCATCTGGATTGTTAACAGCTTTGAAATAGGACTGTTTCTGCAAAATGTCGTCTCGGCTTGACGGCTCGACATTTTTTGGACAGAAACATCCCTTGTTATTACCCTCACGTTTTTCGTAATGCTAATTTCCCATAGGCATCTGGGAGTTATTTTTACTGTCAATGCAAGTGTACCACGTGACTAAGAATTTTATACTGTTACATAGGTAACAGTATTTTTAACAGTATAAAATCTGGTCACATGGTCTATTTTCTAAATAAAATGAAATAAAATGGCCGCCATTTTTTTCTCGATTCATTCTTATTTTCAACGTTAAACCCCGATATGACATCAATTTCTTCTCTGGAGTAACTATGACACTCATAAAATTTAGTTGTTTGCAACCTGGTGTGATTTTCGCGTATAAAATATCTTTTTGTTGAATAGTCAAAAAGTGAACATCCGTTTTCAACGGAAGTAATTGCAATGTAAATAATTATGTTTCGAACTGGAACATGCAGACGATTTTAGCATGCAACAAAGGATTATTTTACAATTTTAATCAGTGAAACGTTACATATATGGTGGACAGACATAGGATATCATCGTTATTTTGTCAAAAACCATGCTAAGAATATTCTGGAAACAGAAGGATCAGATTTCACAGATCATAACCGTGTAAATGGGTTAGTGTTTTGTTTTCTAAATAAAACCTAGCTTATTGTATGTTTATGATTTGTAGATATCATCACTTGCTTAAAGAATAAAAGAAAAAGAAAACTTCTCAAGTACAGTAGGCCTAAAGTACACTTAAAACTTAAAGGTAAGGACAGTTTAGTTATTGTTACTCTTGGTTTATTTTTGTTACAGTTAAATTTAGTTGACAATTTCAAATCATCACAGTATTTTTGTTCGGGGTAATAAAATAAATAACACATGGGTTTGTGAGTAACAGTAAAAATATCATCCCTCGTAAAAATACGTATTTTCCTCGGGATGATATTTTTACTGTTACCCACAAACCCATGTGTTATTTATATAATATCGTCCCAGCCACTGTTATACCTCCGTAACTTACTCGTTTCATATACTATAACTATAACAATACTCGTCATTTCATGTTAATGTCTTAAACGTTTCTTACTCTCTAAATTAACAATACATGTATATTTATTTTTCAAGTCATGTTTTCTCTACATACTTATGATTTACATGCTCAAACCTGTTATCATCAGAAATATCACAACTATTTTCCACAATACTGTCAAAAGAATAAGTAACTGACATTAAACAATGATCCCATAAATGTTTGGCAAATCAATATCAAACCTAGAAATATTTTTAACATAGTACTTTTGCATGATAAATAATCCACCATGCTGCGCCCCCATCACTTATAAACGTGTGTTTCCCTATCAAATAATTGTTTCCTTCCTACCAACTAATCTAGAACTTGCCTTATACAAAATCTAACACATCTATATAACTAACTATGTAGCTTGGAAATAGAATTTACAGGAAAATACAAGTATAAAGTTTTACTGGTTTAAACATATTTATTTTAAGCTCGATTGCGAAACAAGTTCTTGCAACTTATATTAATCACTTTCGAGTCCGCTTCCTGGAACCAACCAGTACTGGTGTCATATAAAGATACATGGTCGTGACCCGAATAGGGTTTGAACCCAAGATCCCTGGGTTGAGAGGCAGACACCTTAACCACTAGGCCACCGCTCCCCTTTACTTCTCTCGATTGCGGAAATTTTGACGTTATTTTCAGAGTTTTTATGTCGCTGATTACAAAGTTGGTGGTTGACGCATCTGCTCCGACTGTGGTGAAATATAATTCTCTTGTCTCTGCCCAAGTTCCACACACCTGGAAACGGTTGCTTGAAGATCTTGCATTTTCCGGTCATGCTTACTGACTCCTTTTGTTAAGGATACTTTGACTTCTGCCATAACAGTGGCTTTGAGGTTTTCAAACTCTTCTAGAATGTTGGCTGACTCAGTGGCACTGTCAACACACTTGTAGTTTATTAGCAGCAGGAACGCAAGAGAAATTAAATACCACATCTTTTCTCTTCGGTGTTCTGTTTAACACTCACTGGCGTACAATTTAAACTCTTATCTTAAAGAAAGAACGAATTGTTATCTTTTTCGAAAGTATTTGCTTCGTTTTCGACGATGCTATGTCTTTTAAAATTTCGCATTAACAGATTTGCCTTTAGAATGGTAGGACTCTTAGTTGTAACGAAAAAGCCATACATTACCTTCTTCATACTAATGTTGTTTTTTGTTTACGGTGCCGTTTAGGCCTATACCGTGAAACACCGAAGCGCATAAAAATGTTTATGTATTTCTAAACTGTAGACAGTATGTTACTATACTGCTTTATAAAAAGTTCAATTGCACCGGTATGAAGCCTTTATACTTGGATAATTTATTTGTGCAGTGTTTGCAAAGACGTCATATTGTTTATGTGTGCTTTTTCCGCGCTTCTGTGAAAACAGTCTAAAAGTGCTGGGTTTTCTTATGAAGTAAAAAAATTTCAAAGTAATGTCAAAGTTATTTTGTTATATAAACCACATTTATAGTTTTACCTATTTCAAACACCTGCCCCTATGATATGTGGTACTGTGCATATAGTTTTGATTATTAAGAATGTTCATGAGCAGCATCGATAGAACCACGTTCTTCGTCTAGAAAGACAATGAACAAGCTCTTTGGCATTTACATATTCAAAGTTGAAAAAAAACCCATTCGCATATCAATACATTCATGTTATGTAAAATGCATTTAAGTTGTTCTCATGTTTAGATAATTGTATCAAATTTGATCAAGTTATGAAAGGTTGATGAGAAAATTTGTTTAAAATTCAAATTGAAATAAAGCTTACTCTGGATAAGGGTTTTCTTAAGAATCATGTAAAGTATTGTTTACGTTTTAATAAATTTGTTATGCAAGTTACTAGAGCCTTATGTCATATTTATTTCATTCCGGCTATATTGTCCCGTTAATCCTGTCACCAACTTGTATAACATGACGTATAAACAAACAGATAGATAGATTTCGCTCGTATGTCACTTTTAAATAGGCGTTTGATATTTTGAAACCAAATGATAGTGTTATACACATTCAACAATAACATGACCTGAGAACTCCATGTTTGACCTTGATAATACACCAAATAAAACTGAATTTAGGGTTAACAAGTGAGATCGTTGCCAGATACGAAAGGTCAATATAGTTGTTAAGAATGTTTGTTGTTGCAAGTCTTAAGTTTTGGATGTTTTTGGTTTCTTTCATAACGTTTTAGATAAAATATTATTTTAATTGGATAAAGTGTAGAGCCTCTCTTTCACTAAGTCAATAACGTTTGAAAAATAACTGGGGACAAAAATGTACTTTTTCATGAAGTAAAACCGAAAATTGGACAATTAGAATTTCACGCATTCACTTAACGACGAAAATAATGATTCTTTCCTAATATTTGAATAAGCGGGCCCTACACTTCATACCTTAAAACATTAATGAAATATTTAAGAAATAATGAGGAACGATACCATTATAAGTTTGTTCTGCCCCCCCCCCCACCCCTCCCCCCCGCCAATCACAAAAGTCATCGTGATGTTTGAAATCAGACAAAAACGAGGCCCACGATCTATAAAATATAAAATTTGATATTCTTACACCGGAAACATGGGAAAATTGGACACTCAGAAGGAATGGTAAAACATGAAAAGATATCATAAAAATTAGCTAAGATAGAATTTAATAAAACCCGTAAGTTCCATATACCACACTAAACGTTAAACGATTTTCTTTTTTTAGGCATTTTGCACAATTCAAATGTAAAAAAAAACCAGCAAAAACGGATTGACAGAATGATCTGAAATTGAACAAACAAGTTATTGGGCCAACAAATGTTACTCAAATCTCGAAATATTATTTACAGTACCAGAATGTCAGAAAAAACCAGTGAGTTTCATAATATTGATTGAAAAATACTTTAATTAAAAAGATAAATTATTAGAAGGTTAACCTAATTATTATTATTATTATTTAGCAGTATGAATGTTCTCTATTATGAATTGCTTTGTACTACTGAGAAACTCATATGAAAGTGTTTCTTAGAGTAAGAACAAGAGCAGCACATATTTGCTGCCTAATAAACAATCATGCAAATGAAATTTACATAACTAATATTTAAGTATTCTTTGGTCTTTACTGAAGAAAATATTTATCCGACAATTGAAGACGTTTCCGATACAAGTTCCTGTATGAGATAGCCACCAAAGCTGGAGTATTTTAAACCGAAGAAGGAATCATCATTATGTTCGTTTTGTATAGCTACATCATCTCCTGTAATAAATATTAAATACAGTACTCTATTAGAAGAATCAGACGGATGTGATCCGATTGTGTCTTTGTCCACCCAGTAAAACTTGGCATTTTCCATATTGATATTATCAATACATATTTTGTTGTGACTTCAGATCGAATAAGATATAAGCTCCATTACCAGCGGCTAAAATCCAAATCCGAATATACAAATCAGGATTTCTTCAAGTTTTGTCCGTGAAGTAAATCAAATTATCTTTACCTTTTTAACTATATGTGTATAAGTTAGTTTGTAATATAAAAACATATTGACCATTTTAGATAGTTTAACCAAAAGAAAGTCATTTAAAAATTGTTTTGGCATTAATAGACATTTGTCAAAATATTGAAAGTTGAAGAGAAAGCATTCGCATACGCTGCATTTATGTAATGTTAAACGCATTTAGCTGTTTTTTCACGTGTATGTAATTTTGTCAACTTAACTGATTGATCAAGTTTAAAATCGTTGATATTTAAGTTGAAATAAAGCTCACCTTTGTTTAGACTTATAATTATAGTTTGAGACCCGCGTCCATGTCTACCATCCGTACCACGCTCATTAAGCCGTACGATGACACGTCCTTTCACCACAATGCCTGCCCAGAATTCCATGTTTTGTCTTGACTGTATACTGGTTGTGAAAAGGTAGAGGCCACTAACAGGGGCGATGAACACTCCATGTTGATTGTTATAACCATTTCCAATATTTGTGACGATCTCATCAAAAACGATGTTTTGATGACCCCCTAGATGATCCAAAGAAACTACAGAGACTATAGCAAAAAAGGCAACCGTGTTTGGTTCGTATCTTTTAACCTTTAATGCAGACATAAACTGTCCTGTTATGTAAAATGTATAATATATTAATTGAAATTGAAAGTATATAATATACTTTTACTAAAATAGTTAGAATTTACAATGTACCTGTGAGATGAAACCCTGAAAGGAATTAGTATGATTGAAATCTAAATGATGACTTTGTCTGGAAAATAACTCTTCTTAACTGGTTAAGTCTTGCATTCCGGTTTTGTATAAATGATCATATGATACTTGTTGAACAACAAAGAAACAATTTGGTAATACCAACTCTTGCAAAAAATAACGCAGTAAATTTTCCAATACACCATTAACCAATAATAGCCAATAACAGCATTTTCAAAAGATGCATATCTACATCCGTTTTCAATTAATTATACACAATAAAGATAAATTTGTTTTGTTTTGTGGGCAAAATTCTAAGTCAATACTTGATAACCTTTAACATTTGAATAAATTTAAAAGATACTTGGTCTAACTCGTTATAATATGTGCTAAATATTGTCCTACAATTAAAATTATCTACATTGTTTTCTTTCTTTCTTTTGTGATGCAATTGAATCACAAAACCTTCGACCACCTTGTCGCAAAACAACCAATATTTAAAATCTTGTTAAACAAAAATTTTAAAACAAGATTTATCAATATCTTTATCTGCTATAAAATGTTCATCTATCTGGAGCCTCAGATAAAATAAATTCAGTTGTTTAATAGCTAATGTAATTTCAACAACAAAAACAGATTAACACGTGTTAAATGAACTGCATTTGCATTCTTTTAAATTCACCATTTTCATATCTTTAAATAAAATTTAAACATCTTCATCATGTGTAAACACCTATCATCTGGATTGTTAACAGCTTAAAAATACTTCCAACACGCCGACATAGATATATTTCAGTGTTTGATACCCGTAATATAATTTCCATTCTCAACACTTTCTATAATATACGTGAATTTTTGGTTTAATATCCAGTAATCAATTCGTCCTTTCTCTATCGTAATTGTACCTACATTTTCTAATCATTAACTAATAATCTGACGTTGTTTTCACAATATGTACTTTGGTAGTCTGGCTTTGAGACATTTTATATTAGTTACTATTATCCGTAAAAAGGCAAGTATGCCTTCAAACGATGTACACAATTATTGGTCTTATAAAATGACGTGCTAGCTATTATATTACTTGTAATTTCATGTTAATGTCTTAAACGTTTCTCACTCTCTAAATTGTCAATATATTTATTTTTCAACTCATGATTTCCCTACATACTTATATGATTTACATGCTTCCTCAAACTTGTTATCATCAGTATCACAACTATTTTCCACAATACTGTCAAAAAAATAAGTAACTGACATATAAATATAAAAACTGATAAATATTTGGCAAATCAATATCAAACAAATAAATATTTTCGACATAGTACTATTCCATGATAAATAATCCACCACGATGCGCCTTCTGTTACTTATAAACGTGGGTTTTTCTTATCAAACAATTGTTTCCATCCTACAAATTAATCTAGAACTTGTCTTATACAAAATCTAACACATCTTTATAGCTAATTATGTAGCTTGGAAATAGAATTTACAGGAAAATACAAGTATAAAGCTTTACTTCTCTCGATTGCAGGAATTTTGACATTGTCTTCAGTGTTTTTATGTCGCCAGACAAAGCTGGCGAGTTGACGCATCTGCTCCGACTGTGGTGAAATATCTTTCTCTTGTCGCTGCCCAAGTTCTGCACATCGAGAAACGATTGCTTGAAGATCATGTATTTTCCTGTCTTGCTTCTCTATAACTGATTCGAGCCTTTTGTTACGGGAACTTTGCTTTTCTGCCAATTTTTTCAGATGGTTAACTGTAGTTTTGAGGTTTTCAAACTCTTCTCGACGGATGGCTGACTCAGTAGCACTGTCAACACAATTGCAATTTATTAGCAGCGTGCTCGCAAGAGAAAGTAAATGCCACATATTTTTCCTCGGTGTTCTGTTTAACTTTCACTGACGTACAATCTAAACTCTTATCTAAGAGTAAAGTCAATTGTTATCTTAAGTTTCTTAAGAAGTAAATTAAATAACTGTAAAGATGAGTATTACAATATGAAAATATGTTTGTCGTTGATAAGATAATATTTTGGATATATATTACACTTCGCATTTACTCAATAAAACTAATTAAAGGTATCTTGAAAATGTTACACGTAGCCTTAGTAACCAGTTTCATGAGGAGTGTTCAAATATGAATGCATCTAAGCACGTATTATTTGATTCTTCAAAGGTATCACTGAAGTTTTTATTTGTTCCCTCAAAGTAATGACCTACAAAAGATATACTTTTCAGTCTCACTCTCCGGATTCTAACTTTTAAGGCATTTTAAAATCGTTTACATAAATTATGAAGACACTCAAATATTGCAGAAACGAGGTTATTGTGCTGAACAATGTTTGGACTATAAATTTATTTTTTAGCTTTTGAGACAAAAAGAAATCACAAAGGGGAAATGTCAAGTGAATACGGAAGGTGGAGGAGCGAAACGACTTCAGGAAATCTTGCACTATAGTCACCTTGTACGATAACGATTCGTCATGCAACATTTTTACATTGTCGAAACTTGTGGCGGACTTTCGTTTTATAAATCGTTTGCTTCGTTTTCGAAGAACTTTTGTCTTTTAATATTTCGCATTAACAGATTTGCCTTTAAAAACAGCCTGAATTGAAGGACTCTTAGTTGTAACGAAAATACCATACACTACATTCTTTATGCTAATGATGTTTTTTATGCATGGGGTTTTGTCGGCTTTGCAGCCCTAATCTTGTTTTAATGTTTTCGTTTTTGCTCATAAAATGAACCCATGTTTCATCAGCAGTGACGACATTTGCAAAAGACCGTGCATTGTAATTTAGAATCTGTTAAGCAACAACTTTTTACTGCTCATCTGTCAGCAAATGGGGAGAACTATCTAGCACAGATTTTCTGATCTAAATCATGTTTAAGAATGGTTTGAGTTGCTCCTAATGATTTGCCTAAGATATCAGCTATTTGCCCGGTGGTGTATCTTGCATCGGTATTAACTATTTCTTTCACTTTAGCAAGCATCTCCACAGACGTTGCTGTTTTAGGCCGACGGCATGGAGTGCATTTTTATTCGATTGAATTTATTTAACCAACGAATAACTAATTAAAAAGACATTTAATTTTGTCCGTATACAAAACAGATTTCATCAAAATGTCTTACTTTGTATGTCAGGGAGACATCGAATCTTAATATAAGATCGTATAACAATGGCATACTGTTCATCTACCAACCATTTTTGTACTACTGTATACGAGTAGACTACTGTATACGAGTAGACAATGAATAGCGAGCTATGAATTCAGCTTAAGCGAACGGATTCGAAAAAATGTGGTATCAATGTAAAGCTTACATGTATACATGTACATGAATCTACCAAATAACCTTCATTTTCTCGTGTGTTTTTTTCGTAATATTATACAATTATTGACTAGTGAGCCATTGAATATGATGTGATATTCACCGGCAGATGACATATTGACCGAGGCGAAAGCGAGGTCAACATGATTTTCTGCCGGTGAATATCACATCATATTCAATCGTCACTTGTCAATAATTCTTTTATTATATGAATAGGCAAAGATTGAAAAATACACACAAAGAGTAAAACCTAAGGAAATACAAAACACAACGTTTGTCTTGTCTTCATTGAAGAAATTATTAGGCATATAATTATTGAGTTTTTTTTTTAAATCTTTGGCTATTCATATAATAAAACCATTATTGACTTGTGAGCTATTCACTATTCATGTGAATTTCACAGGCAGAAAATATGTCATCTACCGGTGAATATCACATCATACTCAATGGCTAAATAATTATAATATAATTGCATAATTGCAGTGTTCGCAATGACTTCATATTGCTTATGTGTGCTTTTTCGCACTTTTGTAAAAACAGTCTAAAAGTGTTAGGTTTTCTTATGAGGTAAAACAAGTTCAAAGTAATGTCAAAGTTAGTTTGTTATAGAAAACCACATTGATAGTTTTACATATTTCAAACACCTGCCCCGATGGAAATGTGGTACTGTGTACATAGTTTTGATTATAAAGAATGTACATAAGTAGCATCGGCAGAACTACGCTCTTCGTCTAGAAAGACAATGAGCAGGCTCTTTTGCATTATTAGATTTTCGTCGAAATATTTAAAGATGAAAAAACCCATTCGCATACAAATACATTCATGTAATGTAAAATGCATTTAAGTTGTTTTCATGTTTAGATTATTGTATCAACTTTGATCAAGTTATGAAAGGTTGATGAGAAAATTTGTTCAAAATTTTATTTGAAATAAAGCTTACCTTGGTTAAAGCTAAAAAAGTGTGGGTTCTCTTAAGAATCATGTTAATTACAGTTTACGTTTTTATAAAAATTTTATACAAGTTACTAGAGCCTCATGTCATATTTATTTCATTCCGGCTATATTCTCCCATTAATCCTGTCACCAACTTGTATAACTTAACGTATAAACAGATAGATAGATTTTGCTCGTATGCCACTTTTAAATAGGCGTTTGATATTTTGAAATCAAATGATAGTGTTATACACATCCAACAATGACCTGAGAACTCCATGTTTTACCTTGATAATACACCAAATGTAACTGAATTAAGGGTCAACAATTGAGATCTTTGCCAGATAAGAAAGGTCAAATTGTAAAAAAAAATGGTTCAAATATAATATACAATATAAATTTATTTATATGTATGTTACATTTCGTTTGTTTTCGTCTATTTCGTGCATCGGAAGTTCACAAGAAATTTTGTTGTTGCAAGTCTTAAGCTTTGGATGTTTTTGGTTTCTAACTTTCGCATAGTAAGTTTACGCGAGTATATGTGATCAATTTACTCGCTTAAAGAATAAAAAAATCCAGTAAAGTTACAGTCAGTCCAGTTTAGATTTTCTTTCATAACCTTTGAAATAAATATCATTTTAATTGGATAACTTGTGGAGCCTCTTATTCACTAGTCAATAACGTTTGAAAAGAAAATGGGGACAAAATTAAGTATTTTTCATTCACAGTACGACGAAAATAATGATTTTTCCAAATATTTGAATAAGCGGGTTCTACACTTCAAACCTTAAAACATCAATGCAATCTTTAAAAATAGTGAGGAAAATAAATCCTCAACCAATTTTCTGTCCAGGCATATCACAAAAGGTACGTAGTTAAGGTACCTTGATTCAGAAATTAGCCTAAAACGAGGCCCTAGAGCTATAAAAGATAAATTTGATATTCTTACACAGGACACATGGGACACGCAAGGATATTTTAAAAATAAACTAAGATGGAATTAAAAAAAAAGAATATGTTACTTCCATATCCAACACTTAGCGCTAAATGCTTTTCAGTGTTTATGCATTTTGCCAATTCAAATGTAAAAAAACAACAACAACAAAACGGATTGACAGAATGATCTGAAATTGAACACGTAAGTTATCCGACAATTGAAGATGTTTCCGATACAAGCTCCTGTATGAGATAGCCACCAAAGCTGGAATATTTATCACCATAGAAAGCATCATCATTGTGTGCATTTTGTACAGCGACATCATCTCCTGAAATTTACACGAAACAATCTTTGTGAGAAAGCTTTCCATACAGCATAACTTCTAATCAGGTGCCCGCTCGTGCCTGAAATAATGCAAGGAGGTGTTCAGATTTTGCATGCCTTTTAAACTTTGCATTTTCCATATACAGGTTTTGAAGTGACTTGAAAACGAATAAAAATATCAACTCCATTCCTAGCGGCTAAATTTTATATCGAGATACACCTATATCTAGATGGCTTCAAATTTTGTCAGAGAAGTAAAGAAAAATCAAAGAAGTGTATAAGTAAGTTTGTTATAAAAACACTTTGAAAGTTTTACCTATTTGAAAAAATAGATAAATACAGAATCCCTAAAGAAAGCCCAACACGGCAAAATTGAAAATGTTGCAGGCTCGGTTTGATTGAGCCTGTTCATGGACGGTACTGGAAAGTGCAAGGTACCGTTCACGCCCCCTAGCACCGGCTTAAGCAGAATTCAACATTTAAACGTGAAATAGTAAAATTTTGAATTTAGAAACATCCGCAGATGTGTTCATACGGCGGTTATCATGGAACCTTCAATGTGACACTTCCGTGCCATTCCATGAAAAGCGACGTATGGTCCCCAAGTAATAAAAAGCGTGTGCCCTAAACGAGAAAACAATGGGCGGAACTAAATAAAATGGAGTTTTGAAAGGGGATCAGAGGTTACGAAGCCTGCGTATCACAGATAAGACGTCAAAAGACAAATTTAAAAAGCAGGCAACATATCCTAAGGGTGATTCAACATTATTCAAGTAGGATTCAACCTGCCCCGATGGAAATGTGGTACTGTGCATATAGTTTTGATTATTAAGAATGTTCATGAGCAGCATCGATAGAACCACGTTCTTCGTCCAGGAAGACAATGAGCAAGCTCTTTTGCATTATTAGATTTTCGTCGAAATATTTAAAGATGAAAAAACGCATTCGCATATAAATACATTCATGTAAAGTAAAACGCATTTTAGTTGTTTTAATGTTTAGATAATTGTAGTTATGAAAGGTTGATGAGAAATTGAAATAAAGCTTACCTTGGTTAAGGCTAACAATTATCGTTTGTGACCCGCTTCCATGTCTACCATCTGTCCCACGCTCATTCAGGTTTACGATGATATTTCCATTTACCACAAGGTTTACCCAGAATTCCATGTTCTGCTGTGACATTATACTGGTTGTGAAAAGATAGAGACCACTAACAGGGGCGACAAACACTCCATGGTGATTGTTATAACCATTTCCAATATTTGTGACGATGTCATCAAAAACGATGTTTTGATGACCCCCTAGATGATCCAACGAAGTTACAGAGACTGTTGCAAAAAAGGCAACCGTGTTTGGTTCGTATCTTTTAACCTTTGGTGCAGACTTGACATAACCTGTGATAATGGAAATGGTATTTTTTTGAAAGTATACATTATCCTTTTACAAATATTGTCAGACAATAAAGAAGTACATACATGGAGACGAAATAAAAAAAATTAAACGATTAAAATGGATGGTTCACGTATTTCATTATCCCTCATGTACAGACTCAATCAAACCGAGTCTGCAATTCTCTTGTAACTTTGTTGTAATAAATGCTTCCGAAGGATCACTTTATTTCCAGATTTTTGTTATTTCAGTATCAGACATACACGGGTTTAATTTAATGAACATATAACATATTCATTAGGTGTATAATACCTATCTTCTGTATTGTTATCAGCTTAATTTGTACTTCTCATATGTTGACGACATAGAGGATATTTGTTTAGTTCAGTGTAAGATCGGAATATATTTCACCGAGTGAGCACCAAAAGGTATATTTCACAAGTGGCGCAGCCACGAGTGAAATATGAACTTTTGGTGTTCACAAGGTGAAATATATTTCAATCTTACACTAAACTAAACAAAATTTCTTTTTATTATATGCAAAGAAACGTTTTAAAAAGACATTTAACCTAATACTGAATGAAAAGCGCGCCAAATAATAATATAATGTGACGTCATTTACGACGTCACGTCATTAAGTTGGTTCCCAGTACTGTGCACGCTGGTATTTCACTGAAATAACGTAAGGGGCTTAAATTCAAAACAGTGAAATTATCAAAGTGGTAATTTCACTGTTTCAAACAGTGCGATTACCATTTTTATATCACTGATATATTTCTATAAACCACCGAAAAGCTACGCCACTCGTGAAAATATAATAGCTGGTGTTCACGAATGAAATATATTTCAATCTTATATGTAAAACAAATAAATTTTCTTTTTATTTCATGCTTTTTAAGTGATTTTAAGTATTTTTTACTGATTTTGCCGCGTAACGTCGCGAATTCTCCTTTGTGACGTCATCACATCATGACGTCACATCATTTATTTTGAAATATAGTTCTGTTAAATTTCTCTAATTTTGTTACATTTTAACATGATGTATGGTGACATCGACTTTCTTTTCCTAAAGAAGCAAAATTTACGCATGACAGCATTTATTTCTGCCTTTTATTCCATTTAGTTATGATTTTCTTTTCATCCGCATTCAGATATAGTCCGGCTACAGTGAAAATTATATTTTATAAATTTCACTAGTGGTTTATCAGAATATAATCATCTGATATATTACAATAAAACACTGGAAAGCATGAAATAAATTGATTTATTTAATTGATTAATACCCTCTTCTATAATATTCAAATATAAACGTGCATTTCTTTTTGTTTAGTACATCGCAAATTATTTCTTCTTTCATTATAACAATTGTATCTATATTTTCTAATCTGACATAACGTTCACCATATCCACTTTAAGAGTCTCGTTTTGAGATATTCTGTATTGGATAAGATATCAATCAATATAACTTATAATAATCCGATATATATTTATTTGGCTGGGTTTGCACAGGTGCAATGTGGTGAATGTCGGGCGGGGGGCTAACGGGCGGGGAAAAACTTTTCGTAACAGTTTTCTCAGCAGCTACTTATCACAGCATCTTGATATTTGGTATACAGCATTAACTAGTGGTCCCATATTGTGGAATTCAATTTCAGGTCTGTCAGTCATCCACTTCCTCCTGTTTATCGACATAGTTAAATTTTCAACATTAATGATCAATGGTAGGAAAGTTTCGTAGCAGTTTTCTCAGCAACTTCTCATCATAGCCTCTTGATATTTGGCATACAGCATTGACTAGTCGTCCCATATCGTGGAATTTGATTTTAGGTCTGTCGCTCATCTACTTCCTGTTTCCCGACTTAGTTTAATTTTCGACGTTTATTTTCGTATATCACAGCCTCGTGATATTGGTATACAAATGCAACTCGACCTTTTTGTCTTTGACCCCTTTTTGAACATTGTACAAATATTGCGGCCTCTATTACTTACAAACGTCTGTCCTACCAACAATTCTAGAACTTGTCTTACATAAAATCTAATAAATCTAACAAATCTTTATAATTAAATAGTGGAAAATAGTATATACAGGTAAATAAATGAAATCTTGTTACTTCTCTCAATTGCAGGAATTTTCACAGTGTCTCCAGAGTTTTCATGCCGCTTATTCTGGCCGGTAAAGCCAGATATAAAGCTGATGAGTTGACGGATCTGCTCCGACTGTCGTGAAATATCATTTTCTTGTCGCTGACTAAGTTCTGCACACCGGGAAACGGTTGCCTGAAGATCTTGTATTTTCCTGTCTTGCTTTTCTATCAATTTTTCCTGTCGGTGAAGTGAAGTTTTAAGGTTTTCAAACTCTTCTCGACTGATGGTTGACTCAGTGGCACTATCAACGCACTTGCAATTTATAAGCAGCGTGATCACAAGAGAAAGTAAATACCACATATTTTCTCCTCGGCGTTCCGTTTAATATTCACTGACGTACAATCGAAACTCTTATCTAGAAGTAAAATGAAATTGTTTCTTATTAAAGCAAGTGAAAAGTATTACGATATGAATAGATTGTCTGTTGTTGATAAGAGAATAAAGGATATATATTACAGTTGCTTGTACTCAATAAAACTAGCAAAAAGTATCTTAAAAATATTGCACGCAGCCTTAGTAACCAGTTTTACGAGGAGTGTTCAAATATGATATGAATGCATCTAAGCACGTGCATTTGATTCTCAAAGGATTCACTGAAGTTGCATTTTGTTCCCTCAAAGTTTTCGTCTCGAACAGATATACAAAGTTTCAGTCTCATATTTCGGATCCTAACTGTTAAGGCATTTTAAAAACCGTTTATGTTAACTATGAAAACAATGGAATATTACAGAAACGTGGTGATTGAACAAAGTTTAGACCCGAAATATTTTTGTAGCTTTGAAAACAAAAAGAAATCACAAAGGGGAAAGGTTAAGTGAATACGGAAGATGGGGGAGCGAAACGACTTTAGAAATTCTTGCACTATAGATCTTGTGCGATGACGCGTCGTCATTTCATTAACTTTAGCAAGCATCTTGACAGACGTTGCTGTTTTAGACCGACGGACATGGGGTGCATCTTTAGTCGATATTTACCCACATTAGAAATTATTAAACCTTGGTATCAATGTGGAACTTACATGTTTATCTACCAAGTAACCTTCATTTTCTCGTGTTTTTTTCACAATATCGAATAATATTAATTCTAGATTCTCTCCTCGCATTGGTTTAGTTGCTTCAGAAGTCAAAACAGGTTATAGCTTTAAAATAACGGTCTAACAGGAGATCTAGTCATAAAGTATTTAGTTGTTTACACTTTTCCATAAGTAAATGCAGATATTCTATAATTCGAATCTTGTACATTTGTTTTTGTTTGACAGGCTTTCAAAATTATCCATGTTTTCCAGAATCCTAGTCTTCTGTTTTAATGTAAAACATCTGCCAACAATTATTATTGTTTGTAATAATCTTCAAATAAGTTGCAGTTGTTTTTGAATAGATGTCAAATTATCAAATCGTATATCACAGTCACCTGCGGTTGAGACTCCACACAGTCTCGCGGAGAAAGAAAAGTGGTATTTTTATCACCTTTTAATATTAAGAAAAAAGAATCCCTTAAGAAAGGCCAATTCGGCAAAATTGAAAATGTTGCAGGCTCGGTTTATTCAGCATGTTTATTGACAGTACTGGAAAGTGTAAGCTACTGTCCAGGCCCCCTAGTACCGGCTTAAGCAGAATACAACATTTTAACATGCAAATGGTGAAATTTTGAATTTAGAAACATCTGAAGATGTGTTCATTCGGCGGTTATTATGAAACGTCCAAATGTGGAATTTTGAAAAGTCTATATTTTGCGTATTTTCACTATTTTGACCTGTTTATGGTAATTTACGTGGCATGTAATAATTGTTCACTTTACAATATTTTACCGTAAAATAGTTTTTCAAAATTTTCATGAAAATTATCATGGATCTGGAGGCATGTTTCTTTAAATACAAAATAATGCAATGGTCTCTTGTTTACTTTTCAAGACTTTTAAAGTTGTTGTCCGAAGTTCAATCCTACATAACTTTCAAAACATCAACGTAAGCGTCTATATGCTTCTTTACAGTGACTTAACTTTACTATCAGGAAAATGCTTCAGTCTGTTCCAGTCCAAATGGAAATGAACTTTTGAACCAAAGAAACAAGGCACATGTAATGAAGTTTGGAATCAAAATGCAAAAATACCATCGAATTCAAAACATATGAATACATGATACGTGGTCTTTTTTTCTTTTTTTTTCTTTTTTATATATATTTTTTCTGTAAATGAACTAATATCAAGTATTACTACTTTATTCAAAATACATTTCATCCCATAATCGAAGACGGTTCCGATTCCAGCGCCTGCAGAAGATAGCCACCAAAGCTGGAGTATTTATTACCCCAGAAGGAATCATCAGTGTGTTCGTTTTGTACTTCTACCTCATCTCCTAAAAGTATAAAACAATTAATATTTGTTTTAAGAAATTAAAGATAAAGTATTTGCTTTCGCATTTTATGTTCCATAAAGTGCACCTGAGCTGTTTTTGTCTTTAAACAGGTTCGTTTAGGTAATTTTAAGTTCATTTTGATAAATTGTTCCACCTTTTTTTAGCCTATGTGTTCATTGTACCACGTTTTGTGCCTAATATGTTCTCTGCACACTGAGGTGTGTCGAATTTGTTAAGTGCGTTAAAGTTATTTGCCACGTTGTGTACCCTGTTTGATGAGTGTCCTTTAGTTATCTTTCCCGTTGTGTGCAGAATTTGTAAAGTGATTTTATTGCTTCACTGTATTTGGATGGATTGTACAAGTGAAGTAATAAATCAGCATTACAAAAAGTAAGGGCTAATAATAGAAATTGTAAATGAAGATGAAGTAGAACATACCTTTGTTTAGACTAAGAATTATTGTTTGTGACCCGCTTCCATGTCTACCATCTGTCCCACGCTCATTCAGTCTTACGATAACCTGATCATTTACCGCAATAACTACCCAGAATTCCATGTCTTGTCTTGACAGTACACTGGTTGTTATAAGGTAGAGGCCACTGACAGGGGCGGTGAAAACACCATTGCTATTGTTGTAACCATTTCCAATATTTGTGAGGATCTCATTATAAATGATGTTTTTCTGGGCATCAAGATGATCCAGCGAATGTACAGAGAGTGTTGCAAAAAAAGCTACCGTATCATGATTATATCTTTTAACCTTTGATGCAGATTTGATGTATCCTGCAAATTGAATGTGAAATATTTCCAATGTATTGTTGAAAGAATAGTGCAACTTCTACAGAGCCACACCTTTTTGAAGGTTTTGATTGCTAATTTAATTCTCTACTATGTTATCCTTATACCAAAATAGTACATATAATATAGTCAGAAATGTACGAAGTCATAAAATATCGTGTCAAATTT